TCCGTAAGCGCTTTCTCGTTGCAGTTAACGGCGACGCGCAGCTGCTGATGGCGGAGATGCTGAAGGTCTTCGTCCGAGGTGAGCGCGCAGTACCGGGGCCCAGGATCAGCCTGAACCGTGACGGAGGCCCGTTACCCGCTCGAGGAGACCAACCCCACCCCAGCCTCACCGCGGAAGGACACCGCTGTCTCCTCCCCGAGCACCCAGCCAGCCTTCAGCTGATCCTGTCGTGCTCCAGCATTGCTCTGCCACCGCAGCCACTGCCGTGACCCCGCGCTCTGCACCTTTGCAGGGCCGGTGAACGGCCTTCTCTGGGGCGCTGGGACACCTCGTTCCGTGGGACTGCATTTTCCTCCCAGAAAACCAGCCCCCAACACCTCGTCGAGACCACACGTGTAACATCTCTAAGACCGCTCTAACAACTCTTTCCTTACACTTGTACTGCAGAAGCAGCAGCACGAGCAGCACGGCAGGCTCAGGCGGAGGACCTGGAGAAAGTGGATATTGAGCATGTGGAGAAAGTGCTGCCACAGCTGGTATGTAACTGTAGAAGCTGAACTGCACTTGAACAGGATAAGGATGTGGGCTGAAGCAGCTTAATCCTCTTCCTTTTGGGAGATGTTTTGGGGACCCAGCAGATGTGCTCACTGTCTCGCTGTTCTCTCCTTACAGCTCCTAGATTTCTAGAAGCCTCATGAAGTACATGTGGCCTGCCAGAAGAAGATCCTGACCTGACAGTGAACATCTGGCTCATCCTCACAGTCTAGCTCTAGGAAGAGCAGTCTCAACTTTCTCTGCCATTTTGCTTCTGTTTCCTCTCTCCTTTACCAAGCACAACAAAGCCCTAAGCAACTTTGCTGTCAGATGCTATTTTTGAAGAGGCTGCCACACGCCTGTTTTGGTCAGCTAAGCATGTAACTGATTTCCATCTTGCTGCCTTACTCCTTTAACAGTAGCCTGTACTTCACAGCACAGTAAGATGCTGTTGCTTTCTCAGCTAATGTGAGAAACAGGTGCTGCTTCACAGAGATGCATGGAAAGACTTAATGGCTGGAAATGTCATCCAAACTTCAGGCTCTCTCATCACCTCAGCAGGCAGCTGCGGCAGAAAATTTAGGTCGAGCTCTAAGCCTGTCTAATGAATAGGTTGTTAACAGGAGCTCAGTCACAGGCTCTTGCCAAAAGCAGGTAACTGATCTTTATTTTATAAATAAACACTGTCTGTCCCTCACTACCTTCCAGTATTTCTCCAGGGCTGTGACATCAAAGAATGCTTGGAACCTTTTAACCATTTGATATTCTCCTCAGAAGCTGCTTCCCCTCTGCTATAAATTTGTTCTCACAAAGAAACATCAATAAATTAAAACCGAGTCTCCCTCCCTTGTGTAGGCTCTTAGCTGCAATTAATCATTGAAAGTCAAGTTGCTTCAAAGACTTGCAAAGTTTCCCCCTCACCCACCCTCTTCTCTAAATCTTTGTAGGACGAAAGGAAAAAGGACAGAATAACAAACAGCATGTGTGAGAATCCCACATCATGGGACAGCCTGGCCCCTCAGCCAGCAGGAGGGCCGGGGTGGGGAAGCTGTGAAATAAGAAACCTTACACATGTAGGCAGGACCCACAGAACTGAACTGGCTTTGTTTGGAAATACATAGCTGGCTGCACAAAAAGCAGCTGACACCAGTGTGCCTTAAGGATTGCACACTCTCTGTTGTTGGGTATCTGTAGTCTTTATGATTAGTAATAGCGAGTAATTTTTTTCGCATTGACAGCTGTAGTAGGCAAAGGCTCAGTAGGTCACTGCACTCTTAGCCAAGAGCTATCAAGGTCATCACTCAAGACACCAGCCACTTAGAAACTTCAACTAAAACCACAATTTAATACACATTCTTTCTGATGACAGTACCAGCTTAAGCAGTGCCCCATCCCTCTGCACTGCAGCCTCTTTGCCAAGACAACTGTTTGTGCAGCTGTACAATGAAGGAACTGACCTAGTTCAGCCTTCAGTCCCACAACCATATGGTAAAAAGGGCAATAGCAAAACCATGCAAGTAATACTACCTTTGAATGCCCAAAAATCCTAGGGATTAGTTCAGCTACTATAGCAGAAGTGATACTGAAACAAATTCAGCTCATCAGGTATCTGCATGTATTGTTCTGTGGCAGGGTAGGAATCCTCATAGCAACTACCTTAGTGAAGAGCCTGCAGTTTTAAATATTGGGACATCTTGTCCCTCTTAAAGAAGTCACTCCTACTTTCTTGCCTTTTTCAGATTTCAAATCCTGATGTCTTCCCCCATGCTGACTCCTACTGACACACTGATCTCTCAAAGCTGCTGCCCTAAAAAGGGTCAAGTTCACTTCCGTGACATACTTGGTCCAGACACAAACGTTCTTGACTGAAGAGGATCACCTGATGTGGATATTAGTAGTAAAGCAGTATTTTAATAGCAGCAGCGGCTAAAATGAACTATTCTTTGCATAAGGAAAGGGGAATAGGACCTCTGGTCTAGCTGTTGAAGGCCCATTTTTTGTTCTCCAGAAAAAGGAGTAGATTAAATTGGGTTTGATGCATGGCTGAGTTACACAAAAGACAAGCATGGGCAGAACTGACTGAGGTAATGCACACAAGTTAGCAATATGAAGTCTCCTAATCCTCACCCCTGTACTTAACCCATGAAACTGCCCCAGTAATAATGATATTGCTGCTTGTGTCCCTAAACCTTTCCTTTCATTTTCCCATTATCAGGTACTTGCAGGCGATAGCTACGGTGCTAGCTCATTGTCAAAACTGGTGAAATCAAAATAGCTAAGCAAATCAGTACTATTTGATGTTGCCTGTGCTCTTCAAAAAATAAGACTAGCACATCTGAAAGCACACTACAACTTCCTACCAACCTGACTATTCTGTTTATTAACCCTGTGAATCAAAAACATCAGCACAAGTATATCATCACCTATCATTAGCTATGGCTATTAGTTACCCCCAATATATCCCGTGTAAATTCAGCAAAGCAGCTCTAGTTACAGTTTACCTCTGACTTCTGTGAAATGAATAAGCCTGACATAGCACCTGAACCAAGATAGAGATAGTCCTAGGATGTAGGCTCAGCCCACACTTCATCCACTTAAAGTAATAAACTTTAAACATTATTTTCATATTTTTTGTTTTGCTGTAGTATGTCTTTCATAGCCTGTCAAATGCCAGAAGGGCTTGCTTTCCACAGTAAGGATTTAGAGCAGCAGCTGTACACAGTGCTCTTGCATTCCTCGCTGCCAGTGGCCGCACACATTCCCTGTTTATGTTTGAGTGTCATATACAAAATCAATCAACATTTTTGCTAAAGCATTCTGCTCACTCCACTTTTGAGTCTCCTTTTTCCTCTTCCACCTTTCTTTCATGTCTCCCCCTCCCTCTGAGTTTCTTCAAAGCATCTGGGAGCATTTGGAAGTAATTAGACCTGAAGGGAAATGCTGGCCAGGCTGGGAGACAATGACAAGTGCCAGGAACCCTGGGTGCCCTTTCTAGCCCCTTTGAAGTTCATTCAGATGGTACAAAGCTCCATTTTGCTTTGTTGACAAAAAATGGGAGGAAGGGAATGAGGCATGACAGGCCCATTGAAAAGGGAGCAGGTTCCTGTGAACTGACAAGAGAAACTGAGTACTGGGGGAAGAAACATTATCAAACAGACCAACAAAAAGGCCTCCTATGGCCACTCAGCTTTATTACGTCTACAAATTGTGCAGATGCACACATAGTTCAGGGAACAATTGTCTCTACAAGGAAAATGGAAAACATGTTATTACCGTAACATGGAACCCCATCTGTCCAATATGAATCACTGATCCATGGAGAAGACTTCAAATAAAACACAGCACCATGGCTACTGTGGCACTGTAGAGTTCATCTCCAGTCTAAGTGCAATTCTAACCAGTAATATTCATCCCTGTACAACACCATCAGGAAGCAAAGATCTGGACTAGGGCTTCCCTCTGTACACTAACTGGACTGCAGAGAACAGCTACTCTGCTGTGGAAACATTTGGACCATAGAAGTCCATAGATTGAACGTCACGTGAAGACACCCTTTTACTGCGTTTTCTTTTTATCTCACTGTAGCTACAATTATTGATGTTAATTATATGTAGTGAAAATAAAAGGCAGAGCTTGGGGCAGAAACAAACTCCACACACATTCCATTAACAGATACCTGTGTTCTTTGTTAACAGGATTCTGGCAACTGAAAACCATACAAATGCAGCAGACCAAAAGGTTCACAGGAAAAGCCTATTTTAACTGTTTTAAGTGATCTAAGTGCTTCCTCTTCACTCACTTTACAGCCATCTATGCCCAGAATTATCAGCAGCACTAACCCCAGCCAGCAAGAAGCAGAGAGAAGTCTTGTTCTACACAGCACTTAACTATAGGTAAAACTGAATCGTATTGTATTTTGCTGCTAGAATTCAGGCAGCTAGACTCAAGTTAACTCTGAAGGAAGAACTGGGAAGATTTAAATTTAAAAATATGGATAGAAACAAAGTCCTTCACAGAAAGTATATAGGAATTATTTCCCTCTTAATTCTCTATTCATCTTATTTGCATGTAAGAAACCTTAATTTTAACCTCTAACATTGTTTCTGTAGTCACAAAGACCACACACAGGTCTTCCACTCCTCCAAAAGGTGAAACTGGCATCTGAAATAGCAATTTTCTATTTGTAACTAATGTTCATACAGATTAGATCTCTCCAGGGCCACCAACAATTTCTTACACATTCAGAGTAAGTTCATCAGGAAAGAGGCACCACTGACAGCTCACTGATCCAACAGCCCACAATGTTTCATCTCTTCCCACCTACAAAAAAACCGTAAAAGCATTAAAACACTTAACCATTTAATTTGCACTGTATCGTTTCTCTATAACATGATCTGGTTGCTGAGGGTTCTGAACACTGCTGCACTCACGCAACAGCACACAGGAGCACTTCTTAGGGACATGGAATGGTGAATACATCATCATTTTCAGAGCGGGGAACTTTATCATACATGTTATTAACATGCGTGTTAGAGCATGTCATTAATCTTTCATACCAGTTGTTAATAGGCAGCCTGCACAGGCCAGCGAGATGATATTTCATACTGTATCCAAGAAAGAAAGTTCTACTCTTAAGTGGAATGCTTCAAGCATACTGGAAATGGGAAACAGTAAAGATACTGTTTTCCACATGATCTGCATCAGTATCCCAGTACCAGCCTAAAGGAGACCAGCCACAGCAGGGAAACACAGCAATCCACTGTTTGCAGCCTTCCAGCAATCATTTCTCACCCTATGCTATGCTTGCTAGACCTGATGGCCCCACAGTATCTTCGGTATCTTCAAATATTAAAATTCTTATTCAGGAAATTAACATTTGGCATTATTATCCAGGGAATTCCATATAATTCTTCCTAGTTTTATTGCCGTTAAGGAGGTTGATTGAATGTCTTTCCCCCCTGTTCTCTCTTTGCCACTGCATCAAAAAGTGAATATTGCCAATTGTTTAATTCAGGAATCCTTTTTCTAGTTACTTCGTATTTTGTATAAATTCTCATATAAAACCACACAAAAGCTATTGGTTCTGGGACTAAAAACAAGACTGCAGTTTTCTTATCATGATAAACCAAGAAAAAATTCTTAATGGAAACTTGGTTGCAATCTTAACTATGGAAAATCACTACTGTTTTGCAGTGAAGATTAAAAACAGAAAGACCAACTCAAAAAAAAGAAAAAAGAGAAAGGAAAGCACCAAAACAGATTACAACAGCAAAGGAAAAATAGTGACAGAGATTTAACAGATGAGATGGGCCCTTGGTATGTAGAATATTATGCCTATTAGTATTTGAACTACACTAGCATAGTTAAAAACTCAACACATTAAGCCCAGAACATAGTTAAGAATGCTGCAAGCATATGGGTTAGACATCAGACTCAACAATGCCAGAGCTTGCATTCAGATAAACCTCAGCCTTCACTGGAGAAGTAAGTCACAAACTGATTTGTGATTGAAAAACATTGAACCAAATCTCCTGCAGGCCTTATGTTGACATCTTCAAGAATATTGGCAGCATCCAACAGGTTTGGCACAGAGGAGCCTGCCTTTCTGGGGAGTTCAAAATGAGAAGAGCTCTCCTCTGAGTTCATGATACCTGGCAGCTTCAGCCATTTGGGCATTTTCCCAGGGGCCCTTCTCAACACCCGTGGAGCTTCACACGTGCTTGCTGGTTCTGGCTGCTCATTGGTCTTTTTGTCTCTTCCCACTTCTGGTTCAGATAGGGATGGAACTGTTGATTCTAAAGATGACGAAGCAGAAGGAACTAATGATTTGGACAAACATCTGAGGAAGAAAATAAGCAAGTAGAATTAAGCTTCATTTTTTCATAATAACCCCTTGTACCACCATCACTTTTAAAAGTCGGATTGAAAAGGCTCTTATTTTTCATGATAAAAGCCCTAGGATTTACTTGATTTAGTCACTGAAATCCTATTTTGCAAAGAAGGACTCACAAAGCTATGAAGTCAAGTGTGACAGTAAGGCTGTTTCAGGAGAAAATTAATCTTCAGAGCACACTTCTTTGTAGTAAGATGGGCTTGTTTCATGCTTCTCATCCCTGAAATACTCACCGGTTTGCAACTCTATTCAGTCCCAACGTACCTGGCTACTAATAAATCAGCTGCAGAAGGGGAAACTGCAGAGCTCAGCAGGTCTGATTTCAGGTAACAATCTGTTTAAAAATGAAACCCAAACACTTGTTTGATAACACAGAGACATCAATCACCACAGAATTGCGTAGTGCTCGGCTCAGCAAATGTCTGCTGTATGCTATAGTAAATCTCCATCACCTTCCCCCAGCTGACACAGGACACTTAAACTATGACAGTTACCTTCACAACTCAAGATGCCCTATTTCATCATTCAAACCTCAAGATCTCAAGTTTTTCTTTCAGTGCTCACTACATCTCAGAACCTTTTCTGTGAAGCCAGAGCATGCTTTAATCCCTGGGAGAAACAAGGATTCTAAGCACAAACCAGAGGTGTCAAAGAATCAAAAATTCAGATCTGTTCTCCCATCTCCAACCAATCCACTACACTAGGACATCTGTAAAAGTGTTTCACAGTCATTTGTCTAGTTAACATACTGAAGAACAGAATTTCCTTCTACAGAGTCATTCTTCTTATTCTTGTCCCCATAGCAGACAATGTCTACTCCATAGCCTGACAAATCTCATAAGAAAGGTACTATGTTTACATTTGTGCTCAAGCTAACTGACTAAGATA